CTTGTTTCCATCATCTTCTTTTTTTTTCTGTCCCACTCTCTTACACCAGTTTGTTACGTATCTGGTTGTTTGTTAATTTCCGGTAGAAATTCTTTCCGAGGAACTTCAACGATACAATTCACGTGACTTCCGCTGTCGCAAGAAAACTATACGTGACTGAATAAGCACTTCTTCAACTAGGTTTATGGGCCAGGCTTTCTTAAGTGTTCATTTTTTAACTGGAAAACGTTGAAAAAATCTACCACTCGTGATACATTTTGTAATATTTTCCCACCTTGATGAAGATGACTACTGTTTTTACATGTGTTCTTCTTTACCAGATTATATTGTACCTAGAATAAAAAGGCAAAAAGCTAACAAATTGTAAGAAGGTTTTCCTTCTGCTGCCTTTTTTTCTGTGATAATATTTCAGTTGCCGACTTTGTTTACCATCCATTCTAAAAATACAAATATGAAACCCATCACCAAAATGCATACCACCTTTGTATATTAGCAAAGACAGGAGTAGAAGTTAATGTGATCTCCTTTACATTTCTACAGTAAATCCAGCTAAAGCAGGCTAATAAGAATAGTTATTTTGTATTAGACTAGTTCCACATATCATAAACGTAAGCTTTTATTATCATGCGGCATTATAATAAGAAGTGCAAAGCATCTATAAGGAGTTGAATTAAAATGGTGATTTCCTTTACCCATTCTGTGAACTCCTTTACATGCATCTCACCATGTCTCCGAATATCTGTTTTTATAAATAACCCCCTAATTATTTCTCTCAGATTTAGCTTTATAATTTATGTCATTTAAACCTAAAACTGTCACCACTCACACCATTTGCATGTTAGTTATACAGTTAGAGATACACACTTGTTATGTAATCCCATCTTCAAAGACTTTTTTGCAGGAAAATGAGTTGATTTGTGACTAATACATTTCAAATCCACCCTACCCTAATCATTTGCACATTGTGAAAACTAAATATGAAGTGAAAAGCATTATGCACTCTATATATTCCCCTCTGAAATAAAGGAGAACATGTAAAAGAGTTCACGCAATTTCACGTTCAGTGATTTTTATGAATAATGCAATTCACTCTTAACCTTTCAGTTATTGATAACAACAAATGTCTTTGCTGTTGTGTATAACGATATAACAAAATGACATAATCTAAATATATACACAAGATATATGCGTAAAGGAGATCACGTGCTTAAAAAACAACAACTAATTCTATTACAAGCTCCAAATGGTTTGTTTGTGTGAAGCTAAGCACAATGGGTTATCTGTGCTCTGCCTATCACGGGTATCGAAACCAGGTTTTTAGCATTGTAAGTCCGCAGACATTACTGCTGTGCCACTGGGTGGCTGCTCCAAATAGATATACCCAAAATATCTCTTGATATCCTTGGTTTGGGGTATGATCAAATCAACTTATATACTTCCCAAATTGATTTTAGACTCTAATATTTTTATTCATTCAAAACCTTTTAATTATTGTATTGAAAATATATAACCGTAAAGGAGAACACATGATTACAGCGGCATGTTATTTTGGATATTTTTATATGTGAAAAAGTAATAGGACAATTACCTAATAACAAATTCGAAAACATAAATGTTTACTAATTAATCACAATAAATGCTTGAGTCATACTTAAAATTTTTGTGTTATTGCTTTGAAATTAAATTTTTCTGTTGGCGACATGCTATTTTTAACACCCCACCACTGTTTATTTCCTTGGTTTGCTGGAAAAACTTAACACGAACTCAACATATTATATATGTTTGGAAAGCTCTGTCTACCATTTATCATTTAGAAATTATTATATGTTTATGTAAGTTACGTAATCAGAGAAATTTGCCACAGAACACTAGCAACGTCAAATTGGACACTTAAGAAAACCTGGCCCTTATGGAATTTCAACCACGGAATGAATGTATTCATCTCCCATCTTGGTTCTGTCATTGATTGTTGTATTATGGAAAATTTTGTCAGTTTGGTCTGAGCAACAAGTAAACTGTTTCCATGAGAAAGTCATTTGGTTCTAGCCAAAACAGTGAAAGAAGTCACAGAGTATCCGTAAACACAAAGCAGTATTCATTGGTTTACTATAGACATAGCCTAAAGTGTTGGTACCACTATCTAAACCAATGCATGAAATACCCCGTTTCCTGTCCAAGGACAAATGAAACGTCGCTGTTCTTATGAAATTATGGGCCGTCAACTATCTAGCTTCCAAGTGTAACAGTCGTCCACATAGTGGGTACAAAGATAACCAAAGCTAACAATAATGCTAGTTATGTTTCCATCAAATGCTGTCCAAGGGCAAGTATATCATTATTGAAACATCTGAGGACGCTGGTTGAAAATTGTGCAGACAGTCTCATTTCAACACAGTGGAAGAAGGTCATTGACTTGTTGGGTGATTATACCAATTTATTTGCCGTATCAGATAACCAATATAGCCAAAGAAAAGTAATACAGTTAAGGAATTAACTTTTCAATGTTGACACTAGTCATGATTTTAATAGTTTCAATAGCAAAGAAACATTTCACCTCTGGTAGGACAAGTTCTTTCTTATCTTGTACGCATCAATTTGGTATATGCACAATAAAGCTACAATATCTGCATGGTGCATATACATGTGTGGAATACATTGATACTTTACTGATAAAACCTCTAGTACATTGGCTAGACCAGGAATCAGAGGACGAAACAAACAAGTCGAAGGATGATCAGAGCACTGTTTTGGACCATTCCGACTTAGATAATGACGAATTAGATGATGAAAATACTTATCTGGATGTATAAGATGAGTCAGATAAGGAAGTATCTGGAAAAAGAGTTACAAGAATGCTCTTATGGTTGACCACAACATTGATGACAACCTCTTGATTGATACAGCTAGGATTAATTGCAAGTCCAGCCGTTAGGGCAGTCATTTGATTACAAGATTAATTACTGAAAGTAAGTAACATTCCTTGCTTTCTGAGCTACCATGTGATATTTCACTATGAAACGTATGTACTACATCGTGTGACTGCCACTTTATTATTACAAAAATTATCCATCACAATATTACCCTTACTACAGTTTCATCGAGATATTTACAGGATATCAGGTGATAACCACTTGATTATTAAACAGTTAAGATGGCTAGTATCAGTATATACAGTGCTTAGGATATCATCATTTTGTACCAGAGAGGATGATTGCTTGTTGTTTAAAAATTCAGCTGAAAAGGTGTTCCAACCCTTACTTTCTGAACTGTTGAGTAATTTTCTGAGCAAAATATCATCCAACATTTTGTGAAAATACCTCACCCTGTATTAGCAATAAACATCTCGAGTACACTTGTGTTTATATTATTTGTAAACACATGTATTGCAAACAACTTATTTTGAGATTTTATTATTCTTTTATGCTGTGCATCACTGCTGAATACAACAATCAATCAGTTGGGCAATGCTTGAATAAAATAAAAAAATACCTACTTTTTAGTACTCTAAATACTATGCCAGGGATAAGTGAGACTAGGTTATACTTTATTAAATTCAAAACAAAATGAAATTTATGAAAATATGTACATTAAAATTAGCTGAAGTGAATTTTTTATTTCAAACAAAAAATAACATCATGCATCATAACCATAACAAATTTAACATAGTTTTAATAATTGTGTCATATCTTGTCCAATCAGTAGTTTTCCTATTATATTCAATAAATAAATTGGTAAATTGCACTAAGATATTTTTTTGATGTGCATAATGTATGGTATTTTACCCCATTCACAGGCTTGTTATATTATATGAATTTAGTAATTATGTAATTTAAATCATAAGCAATCAGTAGTTCTGTCATCAAAGTTTTAATTTGATCAAATCTAATCATGGTACCTTTGTGATATCAAAGCCAATCAGTACTATGACATATATTCTATCTATAATTTTGTGGTAACATACCAAATAAATTTGATATATCCAGTCAATAGTTTTGAGCAGTATCCACGAGAACAAATTGAAAAACTTATACACATAAATACTTTTAACCTTTTAACAGGAGAATGAAAACACTGGTTCACAAAGTATTTTTCCATAGGTTTAATTTTCAAAGTATAACACAAGATGATCATATGGTTTACTGAGAATCTAAATGAAACTGGCTAATACAACATGACATATCGATTGTCCTACACCATTTCATTACAAAATACCATAACCAAATGCCAGAATTTAGAATAATACAACCTAGCAAAATTAAGTTCTTCCAACAGAGCAGTTTGCCATTAGAACATCTGGTAGACAATAAAGTTTGAAGATGGTTTGAATGGGTAATGAAAGAAACTTTATTACATGTTTATAATAAAGTAACAAATGAACAATAATTAAAAGGTACGATAATTTGTCATAATCAGGTACAAGACCTTGTCAAAACATTGTACATCTGTTACAATGTTATATTTGTAATAGTTTTCTTCATTATCTCTTCAAGCCAATTCCAAACGTAATTAGTCACAAAGTGTATTTATCAAATTGGGTATACAAGTAAAAGGTTGATTAATATCACCTGAACTGTACAATGTATACGTAGTTGATTAAGATGCTTTAAGAGACTTTTCTACACTTTGTGATACATATTGTTCTTTACCAAGTCCTGTAAGAAATCTTACTTTAATTATTCTACTTATCTTCTAAGAAAATACTTTTTAGAACCACTAAACAGATTTTATGGAAAGGTTCAGTGTAAACCAAAAATCAAATGAAAACATTATGGGGGACAGTATACATTTGATGTTAATGTAGTTTGTTATAGTGGTTTTGTATTAGTTTTTAAAATGTTTCAACATATATATTGAGCAAAGAAATGATTGAAAAACAGGAATAAGTCAAAAAAGGTTTAGGAATTAAGATAAATATATTATCATAAAACTTTTTAAATTCAAAAATCATGTTAGGCAGGAAGCCTGTGTTCCACCGAGCACCACTGTTTACTTCAAGTATGAAGGAACCAGTGTTTCTAGACTACACCTGTAAATTTTGTTTGACTTCTGTAATTAAAGTTTTGGTACTCCAAACTTCTTTTTAAGTGAAAGTAAATAAAATAAAAATATTTTCTTTAAAAGTGTATTTTTAAAATAATTAACAAAGATAAATGTTTAAAACCCATCACAATTTCTATTGAAATCCAAAATTAGGCTCTGCTCTCATGCTAACTTTATAAATTATCTTTCATGAAAGTTATTAATCCGAAAATGGATGTAATAAGTTAAAATAACAGGTTATAGGTTTAATGCTATAAAAACCATTCTTCAAATAAGAGTAATTTAGTTTATTTGGAATGATACCCAAAATTCTCTGAACGAAATATACCAGAAAGTTCATACATAATTGGCAAACTGGTTTGTAACCTTGCCAATAATATAGCAATAGCAAAAAAAAATACACATATAAATCAGATAATAGCTATATGCTTAAACTTTAATTTCATAATGATTATCATTACACAGGTAACCATGTGAAAATTTACTGTGCCTTGTTGCATGCTATATGTTAGGTGTAATTATGTATTAAATTGAGGTAAGTTAAAAAGATTTACTTCTGTGCATGTTCTCATTCAACTGATCTTACAGATTTACTTAACAAATCATTCTAAAGCTACAAATAAGCATAAATAGTATTTGATAATCCACTTACACACATTATGTTAGGTACAAACTAATACAGAAACATCTACCAGTAAAACAAAAATCATGCGTACATCTTAAACACATACATACTGACAGGTAATTTGACAATTTGAGATTTTATACATGTATTCTTCTAATGTATAATTCTAAAGAGAAAATTATCTAATTTTGTTTTATTAATCACTACATGTTCTGGAAATAAATTAATTGCCTCCAAATTTGTTTACTTTAAATTCAAAGCAATTAACTTAACAATGGATGATTTATACAAGTACATCTCAAAACAAGGTATTATTATTATTAAGCATACTCCTAAAATGATTTTTCAAAATAATTATATGCAGGGTTCTTATAAATCATAACAATGTTACAAAGTTAATTTTCAACAAAGTTTCATTTCCACAAACATGTCCTTGATGATCGGAATTATGAGTGAACAAATTTTTTGTTTAACTTCATATTTTATTACATTTTTCACAATCTGCAGCTGTTTGTACTAATATAATTATTTTTCATTCCTTTTCCAACTCTTTGAACTGTCTAGCAGTAAATAACTAAGCTTAATTGAGTAGATTACTTTCATGTAATAAACATATGTCTTACAAGCACCTGCACTTTGTCTCAGTACTGTCAGTAGTCACACACAAACGCTTAATTAATATATTATTTTTATCTTTTGATTGTATTTTCTTAAACTTATATAGCAATATTTCAATACATAAAAAAATGTACTCGTACTATGAATAAAAATCACCAATAAATAATAATACTGAGTTAAGTGGAATACAACATTCTGGCTAATTAAAAAAAAAAATTGTTTCATAAATTACAAAAAGGTGATACACAGAAACATTTTGTGGGAATGTATCATTACTTTCTGATTTATTCAAAATCTCAATATCAAATCAAAACAATACTTTTATCTGGAGCTGAAGAACCTCTACATTTTCATCATCAATGTCACATGACATAAAATAACATACACCCTTGCAGAAAAAACAGTGCTCTCACAATTTAGGGATTCCTAAAGATGGGATAATAAAAAATTAGATAATAGAATGGAATAACCAAATGACAATATAAAATTATATCACATCATCATGTTATAATTAATTAATTTCTCTCAAAATATTTAAACCTAAATCAATAAATGTGAAATATTGGCACAAAAATAAGGTCTGCATGAATGCCATTCATTACTGTGGCAAATCATAACTGGTAATCAAATGATGGAAAAGATTAAAAAATAATTATAAAATAATTTTGCCATAATCTATCATATTATGAAAATTGTTCTTATGAAAATGTTTTGGCTTTGCAATTATTTAGATACAAAAAAAAAATTTTTAACATAATTCCACAAAGACAGAAAAAAAGAAATGACTAAACAAAGATATAAAGAAACAAAAATAAACCCGTACGCTTATATTTGATAAATACAAATTATGTTTGATGAAAATGTTTTTTTCTATATTGTTATTAATTATTCCATTAGGGATTTCAAATTGTACAAACTGATAAAAGATACAAAACAAGACATAATTTTAACAAGAAAAAGTCAAAAGCACTACAAATATAACACAAAGAAGTACGTAAATACAATAAATACATTATAATTCAACGAAACAATTGAAAGTAACACACTTATACAAACATCTACAGTAACCAAAAACAGAACTGCTCAAAGATACAGATAAACTACAAACAAAACATATAACTAAACTTGGAAGAAAGAAACAGGTTGTAATTATACAAAGAAAACCAAAGTAAGAAAGTAGAATTATATCAAAATGAAATTCTAAAATCTAATGCTTATATCTGCTGTTTTGTGCCCAAACATTGTAGTATTCCACTTTTCATGCAGAAAAATGACTTTTCCAAAAAAGGCATTACTTTGTTTCTTTTACTTTTTTATTACTTTCAAATTATAAGAACAAGTGGAATTTTTATTATTAACATTTGAAAAATCTTAATATATGTATTACAGGCTTCCAAGTGCAAATATGAAAATATGCTTCAAAATGCTTTTATACAGACCAGTATTATAAAATCAAAACTAGATAAAACTAACAGATATTTGGTGTTTCTTAATCACTTTGAAATAAAATAATCAACATATAAATTACTCTTATTTCATTCCTATATAATATACTTTTACTGAAATTTCACTTCAGTATTCGTGAGAAGGTACTGTACCAACGTGGTAATTTATGGTTACTCATATTGGCTAATCTACATGTTCTAAGTGAAATGTTGCCAATGTTACCAGACAAACATACCCACGTATTAAAGTATTTAATGACTGCCTTACTTCTATGTTAGTCTTACGCAGACACTTGTGTGAATTTATCTATTATCAGTTGTAAAAAATCTGTAATTGATGATTTCCTATCCTCACAAACTCTAAACTTAATGAATGCATCATCTTCCATATGAACTAACATAACCATACAAAAAATGTTAACTTTACTCATACAGACAGCTCACCCTGTGTATTAGTAAACTGTTACCCATAAAGTAATCCAAAGTTGTGTAATAACTATCTGTACATTTGTATATTGTTACTTACGCTGAAAGGTCAACCTGTGTGTTGATACATTATCATCAATATTGACAGACCTATTACATCAACTACTCTCAGTACATTTTAGTATGCCATGAATCACAATATATTACTAGATTTAATCCAAAAAGACTGACTTATTTGTATGATAAGAAAGCATTACTTATATTAACTGATCTCTAAGTAACTTAAAATGCATTACTTATACTCTATTGGTTTGGTGTAATATTAATCCATATTAACAAATTTACTGGGTATAAGATTTGTGTTAATCTGTGTAATTTACTATGTATTAACAATAGCTCACAGGTATGTTTAACCCATACAGACAAAGCTTCCTGTGCATCCTTGTAATTTATAATTACTAGTCTCTTATCAATATTCTCTAAATGTTTAATTCATATTGACTGGTTTACTTATAGTGAATGATCTCTCTATATACTTTTTAAACATATTGGAACATTAAATTTAATTCATGCTGACTGATCTACATGTTTGATTTTAGTGTTAATTATACTGGTAAGCATAATTACTGGTAAGTATTTCAGTAAACATAACACTTTACATGTTAATGTTAAATTTCTAATAAATCTTTATGTGTGTGCTAGTATAGTTTTGCACTTATTAACTAACTTGGTTTGTTTTGTTTTGAATTTTGCATAAAGATACTCTTGGGCTATCTGTTCCAGCCATACATACTTTAGAAGTGATAAAGTAGAGGGAAAACAAATAGTCAACACCAAACACCATCAATTCTTGAGATACTCTAATCAAATAATGAGATTGACCATCACATTATAACCCTCCCATGGCTGAAAGGGCAAACATGTTTGGTGATGGGATTCGGACCTATGACTCACTAGTATATATTGTGTTATTAAGTTTAATCCTTAACGATTAACTTAAATGTGTGGTTATATAGATTTAATGAGGCTCTATGTATTATAAAACAGGTTACCCACACTTTTAATACATTTAATCTTTACAGACTGATCTAAGTGTATACGAGTGTGACAGTGAACCATTCATCATAGTAAACATTATTATTTCATTATTTTTAACTGACATTGACTGACTTAACAGGTTTACACAACCATCTTGATAAGTATTTTCTGGGTAGGTAAATGTGTATTTTTATAATCACCTGTACCAGACTGAAAAATGTATGCAAAAATTTGCTTTAGATCTCAAAACAATAAATACAACATTTTCCTGTATCTATAAGCAAAGTATATGTTTGATACATGTTGTTGTTATGAATAGATAAAAAGCAAAAAAGTTAAGCTTCTGTTATAAGAAGAGTTAAAATAGTTGCATTGTTTATTTATATCTATAACCTCTTGTGACATAAACAAAACAATATTTAATACTCTAAAATACATATATATATATATATATATATATATATGTGCATCTACAAGAGGCAGGAACTGCATTAGCTTTATAGATACATTGAGATGATGTGCCAAGAGTCACTGTAAGGCTACAAACCCTAGTGATGAAATAAATTTAATATAATAATTATTATATACAACAAAAACCTAATTAAGAACTCTTCATTCTCTGTAAGCTAAGTAAGAAGGACTTGTAATGAACACGTAACAATACATACACATATTACAACAATCTATCAAATGATTTGTTTTTAGACCAATGTTGGACAGGGTCTGTCTTCCATGTTGACAAGTAGCACCTTCTCAACCTTCTCTTTGAGCCACTCTAGAACTTGTGGGTCATTACTCTTAATGTAGCGTTCATCTCCACTGAAGTTGAGCAAGTTCTCATCCTGAAAGACATTTAGTTATTTACTTGTTTTTCTAAAGTAAACAAAATATTAAAAAAAAGAAATTTCAATTGATCCTGAATTTTAACCTAACTTATAAGCTTGATATACTGCTTACAATTATTCAACGGTAAGTGTGGCCTCAATTACACCATACCTGTCTGACTTTAATGACAAGATGATAACCCTGAACGACTGGAACACTCAAAATGTTGTCTAAGTTCACAACCCATTCAACATCCCATCCACCCCAGAATCGACACTTCTCTAAAAGAAAGACGTGGCTGAAAGAGACATAGAGAAAAGTTGTATGTGAGTTTTACTTGATACTCTCCAACCCAATTGAGAATAATACTTTTCTAGGAGCTCTCACTGAAATACAGTATCTCCTGATTAGGTTATTGTTCACATACATAGTCCATTCAACATCACAGCAACACCAAAAACAATAATTAGAAAATGAAAATTAATAATAGATGTTTCTTACTTCTAATCTAAAGAGAATTATTATAGAAATGCTACCCAAATCATTTAGTTCCAGAATTATATTTTTTAGTTTCATATATGTAGTTAGGACTAATCTAAATCTCCTAAGATGGCTGAACCTCATGAGATATTATTGAGATTATGGTAAAAAATATCATTATCAGCAAGGGTATCTAACTTATGAAACAATACACTCTAATTTTTATAAGTTGAAACATAATTATTTAATTAGCTATATTAACTGCCAGGTTAATTTTTAGTTTCACTCTAAGGACATAGCTTGCTCTGATCAGAAGTTAATTAAATAAAATTAACTCATTTTCTTTGCTGTCTATGAAATAAAAATTATTCAATCAGTCTAAGAAGACTAAATACTTTCATTTAATGTTTCATTCTTAAAGCAACAGTAAAGATTAATATAGATTTTATATTTATTGCTTGATTTAAATGTTTTGTTTTTGAAGTTTAACAAAAAATATTAGTATAAGTACAATTCAGTTTCTTCGAACAGAAAATATAGTAAAATAATACTAAAAACACTAAGGTCAAAGAAGGATTTATACCCACAGTAACTAAATTTTATTTCTACTGGGGCAAAAACTGAACTTCATTGAGATCTAACCTACAGCTTACCCCACTAACATACCAAAATTATGAGAACCAAATTCATTTCTTGCATTTATATAATCAAAGGTCATTTACTAACTAGTTGTCCAACTTATAAATTAATAAAATTGTTCCATGGTACCTCAATGTACTGAACACAATTAAAAATACCCTAATCTAATGTCATTAGCAAGCTTTACTAATTAGCTAATTATGTCCTATGGTTGAATTAAACAAGGAAAAATCACTTATACACGTAATTTTAGCTTCAAACCCTAAGATTAAATTCAAAAACAAACTAACTGATGTACACATATGTATGGTTTCAAATCCTGAGATAGAAAAGGAATGGCAAATTCAATACCAGAAAATAACAGCTTAATAAGGAAAATAAAGTAGTACAGTTTTTAAATCATGGAAAACTCCAAAAATTAAAATGCTCATTAATCAAATAATATTTTTAAAAATACAATAAAAGGAATTATGGCTTCAAACCATACATAACATTCAATCAACAAGCATAGTTTTTGGAAGAGAAACAATTGATGTAAATGTTGAGTTGACTGTGAAATGGGTGGCAACTATCTATTAGAGAAACATTTGTAGAAATATATTGGTGACAATATAATCTACTTATGTAATTCAATTGTACAGGATGACGTTTCAAAAGTCTTCTGCCTTTCACCTTCAAGACTTTCGAAACATCATCCTTTATATTTGAGTTGCATATGTAGATTATATAGTCACCAATATATTTTTGTAAGTGTTTCTCTAATAGGCAATTGCCACCCATTTCACAGTCAACCCAGTGTGAATACTCTGTCTAAACTATCTATCAAAAAATCTGATTTAAATGGTATTAATAAAGTGCTGAATGGGTCAAAGTGTTAAGAAGTTATGTTTCAATATATCAAAAAGTCATAAACAAAGTTTACTAATTAACTAATTAAGCCCCCTGCAATATTATTAATGTAAAAAAGATAAAGTAAAGGCTCAACCATTGACCCTGAGGTACATAATTAGTAACAAAAGCTCAATTTGATTGAATTCCACTAATCACAACTCTTTGGTTTCTCTCACGCAGCCATCCTACACTTCAAATAACTAGTCTTTCCCAAACTCAATGATGTGATTTTCTTAGCTAAACTTCTGTGTGGCATCTTATCAAAAACTTTTTGTTAAATCCTAGTTCCCCAACTCTACACCCTTTCCATCAACAGCAAAACAAGTAACATTCTCAAAAAAACAACAAGAAGATACACATTAGTAAAACAAGATTTCCCTGTACTGAATCTATGTTGACTCTCTTCTATTAGATCATATTTGTTAGATAATTTTATAGAGCTTCTTTTTTTAGACTCTTTAGAATTTTTCCCACTATAGGTGTAAGACTAACTGGCTTAAAATTTCCAGGAGAATTTTTATCTTCCTTCCTTAAAAATAGGACTAACATTAGCAATTTTTCAATCCTAAAGTACCTGTTCATTGTTTACTGACCTACCAAAAATGAAAAAAAAGAAGCTAATACAACTAACAGGGTAGAATTTTAGTATCAGTTGGTTATATGTGTTATCTAGCAACTTGTATATTGTGAACTTAAGATCAATATTATTCAAGTTAAATACTTAAACAAGTTGATTTTCTAATTTTAGAAAGACAACATGCTCAAGATTTGTTGCCTAATTTTTAAGTGTTTTTCTTTATATTAAAAATACATACTGATCAGTGATCAATGCTACATCTGATCTCTCTTCCTTGCTTAGTGCAGCATGAGCCCAATATCTATCACTGTCTGCATAATGTCCTTTGCTGATTTGAAGTAGGAGTTTGTACCCTGTAGCCATGTAGGGGGAGTATGGCTTCAGACCCTAAGATTGAATTAATCAGGGACTGAATTAAAAAGCAAACTAACTTCATACATATATATGTATGGCTTCAAATCTTGAGACAGAAAATGAATGGCAGATTTAATACCAAAACATAACAGCTTAATAAGGAAAATAAAGTAGTGAAGTTTTTCAACCATGGAAAATTTACAAACATTAGAAGACTAATCAACTAAGTATTATTTTGAAAAATCAGAGAACAGGAATTATGGCTTCACACCATACTTTTAGAAATAGAGAAACTTTTGATGTAAATGGTATTAATAAAGTGTTGAATGAGTCAAAGTGTTGAGAAGTTTTCAATAGATCAAAAGCTTAAATTGAAGAAAGCATTGTGTTAAACTGTAAGGAAGAGGCCAAAAGTATTGAACATAATTTTAGTTTGATTTATTTGCTATTATGTTAATAATAGAAGTGTAGTCAATGATTTAATTTCAGTACTCACCTGAGAAGGATTGATGAAACGTGGTAATCGTAGTCTAACAACAACATCTTCACCAAACTCTGCAGCTCTTAAACAGTAAGACAAAAACAGTCATGCATTTGGTAACTTACAGAGTTAACATTTGTTGTAAAATCTTCTCCATAAGATATCTACAAATACACATGTTCAAAATTTCTAGCATTTTTCAAAAGTTATATGCAACAAATCTTAATAATAAGTAAATTGTAAAAAAAAAAAAAGTTTTACCAGAGGAAAAAATACCTGATTTTACCAAAAAACAGAGATAAGAACTAATTTATGTAGCTTAGAATCCTTTCAATAGATATTCTGTTATGGTGTTTATTACCTTCGTATTCCATCAAAGGCCATGCTGACCATATCTACCACTCCACCAGCCGGTTTTGTAATTAGTCCCATCAATCCTTTCCCTATTCCCTTAAAAAATCCTTCAACTCCTTCCTGGTGAGCACCTAAAGAGAAAAATTACTGGACATTTATGAAAATAACTATTAGGATTTTCACAGAATGTGAGGCTATATGTTCCTAATTTTTCGTATGTAAAAAATGGCCCAGAAAAATAAATAAAATGATCAAAAATTTCATAAATGACAAGTAAAGGGAAAATCTCAGAAAAGAATTAATTAAACCTTGAGTTAAATAGAGAAAAGCTTTGTTTCAACTTTTCTTACATGTGAAGTAACACCTACTACTGATATGCATTATTATGTACTGTGGCAGACTTAGGAATTAGTGTTGAATATTTGTGATCATCTCTTGTAATAAAAGCCACAAATTAGGGATATATGTATGGTTACTTTTTGACATACATAAGTGGCATAAGCTCAGCATGTATTGGGTAAATGTTATGCTATGCAAGAACACACACACTAGGAAGCAGTTTAAATTTAGACATTTTAGATTGGGGAAATCACAAGTCATGATGAGTAAAATTAATGGTCTGATAGTCCTGAAATGGAAAGTTAGTGAAAGTTATAATGTACATAATCTTGTGGAATAAGCAATGCCAAAGCTGGTTACACCTCACTCCAACTGTCCTGGAGAATGGGTTACTTTTGTAATCGAGTCTAACAGAGAAGTTACTGTTGAACTTTTTAGATGGTATCAATGAATAACAGGAAGTTACCTATAATGTGGATTGAAGATATGTTTAAGAGGTCTTTTGCACTTGCAATTTCTAGATTCTTGATAAAACTTAAAGTTAATCATATCAAAAACCAAGATACAAAACCAAGTAGGTCATCATATTTTAATAAATTTATGAAATGAGTTGGAAGAAAATATTTATTATGAATTTTTTTATTCAAACATTTATATTTTATTCAGTTTATCTCTTCAGAAGCTTTGAATGAATACTTAAAAGAAGAATATATCATGAAATCACAAAATACTAAAATAAAATTCTGGTTTAAATGAATTAGCAAAACCTCAAATTCTAGACTATTATTTACAATGTTAACAGTATATAATCTTACCAAAAATAAATTACACTATGTTCATGAATAACTGGTTTATTAAAACTGCTAGTTTAAGTTTAACCCTTCCATAACTAGAAAGAAAAACTATCTGTATTTGTGTATGTCCAGGTGAATTTTTGAAAATATTCATGCAGATGTTCTGCATTTTATTAATACCTCACTTTAATTTTTGTTTCGTGTATAGGTTACATACTACAGAGACATTACAAACAACCTATACTTGCATGGTCAGTCTTCTGTATTTTTTCTCCTTGGCATGCAGGCCATACCAAAGTTGAGGGGTAACATAGAGGTTTTTAAGTTTTTAAATTTTTTATCAAACATGTCAGTGACATTCTAGTTTGGATATAATAATGGTTCATTAAAAAAGCAAAAAATTAACATCAACATATTAATCATACAAAAACAAAGAATAAACATAAGAAACAATGTTGGAAGAAATTATCCAAAACAAAGGAATATATGAAATGAAATGTGACACTTGTAATGATCTCATTTAGATGAAACTGGAGGAGAACTAAACTCAAGGATAACAGCACTTTAAAGAACTATCCAATGTTTTTCAACATATAAAAGAAACGAAACATCCATATCTGAAAACAACATTAAAATTCTATGAATTTAAACTGATATGAATAGAAGAAAAATTGCAGAAGTCATACTGATCAAAAATTTAAATCTTCTTTAAACAAATATTGCACAACTGCTATCTGTATTAATTATAATCCATGTAAATTTACACTATATTTTTCATTTTTATGTGCTTTAATTTTTAAGTTCTTGTGTAAATAATTCATTACCATCTATATCAAATATTTATAACTCAACACGTGCACTATCAAGAATAACTGTTACACTTTAAATTTACAATTCTTGTTAAACATACATTTCCTGAAGATGGCCTGCTTCTTTAGGATGAAATATCAAAATATTCAATTTCAAATTAACTGAAAAGGTTTGCATGTTTAAGCATAAAGTTAAAATTAGATTCTTAAATCCTTGCCATGCTATCAAGTGACACAAGTGGATGAGAATGGTGACTCATGCCCGTAGATGGAACACCAGTCCACTGCAGATTAACCTCAAGCTAACAGCCAGTACCTAACATATTGCTGGGTAGACAGGAACAAGTAAGGTAAGTGTTGCTCAACGGCACAACAGCATGACATGGGCTAGCCTCAAAAGCACAACCTTCTTACTACAAGTCCAAAACAAGAAGCCATTGAGCCATGTTGTTCCTTAGATAAATATGAGCAGGGATTTTAATTTCCCCAAAATGTAAAATTTTAAAAATAGCTTTTAACATGGGTAACCTAAGATTGTGGAATACTGACAAAAATTATAAAAAAAATTATCCATTCTGTTTTAGATGGCAGAGTTGTTAATCAAGTATACATGAAGATGACCATCTTAGTAACTTAGCAAATGCCACAACAAAGTGTGGTCATAACAAAACTACAACACCTGTTAAAACATATATTTTATGTTTTTGTTCTGCATATTAGTTTGACTCTTTTTCTTTGCTGCCTCAGTTTGATTTATTGTTAAGCAAGATATTTCCTTTCAAATGTCTTATAACTAAAATTCTGTAACTTACCCAATGGTTGCAGCTTTACATGTGAATAAACACATCTCAAAATCAAAAATATACCTAAATGTAATGAATTTATTTTCTTTTTGAAACAGTAAGTCTTCCATGTTTCACACAATACATATTACTCATTGAAACAGAAATGAAGTCCCATTTTGTTTGTAATTAAGCACAAAGTTACACAATGGGCTATCTGTGCTCTGCCCACCATTGGTATTAAAACCTGGATTCTAGCGTTGTAAGTCTGCAGACATACCACTGTGCAACTGGGGGGCAAGTCCTATTTTATTAAAGCTTTTGCAATAAGATGAAATAAAAATTATGATACAACATGAACAAATTTTGAAATCTAAAATATCAAGAACATTGAAAAATGCTTTTAAATTCTTATGATAAAATTAATATCATGGAAAAGGTAAATATATTAAAAGATCATAAAAAATCTTTCATTTTAAATGAACCATTCACCACTTACCAGTCACAGGTTTCACAACAACTCCTGACAATCCTAGTGCCACACCCATGACAAATCCTTTTGCTGCCACAGCAAGTGTGTTTGGCAAGGAACTTGATGCTTGATGTATATGCTGCTGTCGTTTCTAATTAAGTAAAGTTAAGTAGATTTACTCTATATGTCTAACTGCATGTCTATCACCCATTGCCCCACCCACATATTTGTTTGTATATTTTAGTAGTTGCAGAAAACTTCAGTTGTACTTCATACTCTATTTGGTAAGTTAGTAAAAATTAACATACACATATACACAGCATAAGCCAAATCTTACTGATAATTTAAACATCAGTTTTTCCCTAAAACAATATTTGATTTAACAGTTAATGTGAACCTTTTCATAAAATATGAAAACAAACATCAAAATATAGAACAGTGGATAATAATCATAATACTTCTAAGTAGTATATATTTCTTGTAATATTTATATGCAGTCCAATAGTCTAAAACCATTTCCTACCTTCTTATAGTCTTCATCAAAGGATAGTAATGCTAAGGCCTGTCCCAGAGAACCAGAAATCAAAGATATGCTGGTAGCAGTGCCCCCTAAAGATATTTTGAAGTTTCAGTTTTCTTCTCCAATTAAAATTTTTTCACATATAAAGGTTAAAAGCAATTACTGATTGAATAAAAAAAGTTTTGAAATATCACACACAAGGTTAAGAGCATGTGGTTTAAATGAAAAATATTATACGATTGAGTACATTACACTGAACCAATATTGAATATGACATAATGTTGTGGTGAACTGACAACTTAAAGTCATTGAAAATCAATATCTTTTGGGAAGAGTATGAAACAGTCCTTTTCAACACAAAATATTCATCCACTCCGATCATAAGGATGTTTTCAGATTGGCAATTTAGAATGTCTAAGACAAGGACATACATTATACTTAATGGCACTTGAAAACAAAAGAACATAGTTCAACTTGGGGAAACAGAACCATATATATAGAGACCTGCAACAAGTCATATCCTAGCCATAGTAAGCAAACTGTGGTGTCTTGGAGCAAGCAAGAGGTAACAATCCATGAATTTAAAATTAATGGCAAAATCTGTCAAAGTTAATCAGGCAACAGTACAGAATATATCACAAAGGATCTATGCTTGGAAACAAAGCCAACAGTGTTTAACCAAGATAATGATTCCAGTCATACCTCCTCTTTGACCACTGCATATCTCTGGATTTCTGTGTGACTGGACTGTTGAAACATACACTAAGAAACTGTCATCCTTGTACACTAGATGGATTATGGAATGCATGCAGGTAAAACTGAGATGGTTTGGACATGGCAGCTATACAATGGAGCTTTTTGCAATGGAAACTATGTTGCAGGGCTATTATCAAGATGCACAGTAACCAGATAGTGCAAAAACAAATGTGGCAACATGGAATGTAATAAGTCCACAAAGTAGTTTTAATATAACCTATTCTACTCTTTATAATTGAAACATCATTAAATTATGTCTTCAAACATATACAAGTGATGCATGTTCCATAAAAGAACAGCCATACAGGCTTCTATGGAGAACCAGGACAGTTGCCTGCACAAAAATTTCAATGATGGGATGATACAACCCTCTAAGAATGCTTGGTCATTTCCAGTGGTGATTTTAGTAAATAGAAAGGAAAAACCAAAATTTTGTATAGACTTAGGTGGGCAAATATGGTGACATGCATAGATATCTTTTTGCTTCTGCCTATGAAAAAAATTCTAAAAGTGTTGAAAGGAACCCACTCATTCAACATGCTGGATCTGGGATGAAAATAGCAGAAATAAGACATTCAGTGCTCAGGATGGACTTTATGCATTCTGTCATACGCTGTTCAGTCTGTGAAATGAACCTACAGCTTTAAAGAAGTTTATGGAGTCTACACTTAACCCTCTTGCTACAGGTAGGTCAAAGTCTGCATGTCTAAACTTTTTTATATAATTACATTAAAAATTTAATTAAACTACTTTATCATCAACGTATATGAAAAAAACTTGATATCAGAATGTAGATAATAACTCTAATAATTTTAATATTATATATGTTTTACGTTCTTAATTTCATAAAGAGATATTTAAAACAAATCCTCGATCTCTCCTAGCATGAGAATTGTAACATTTGTTTGCTAGGTTTTTCACTTTCACTAATTTATCTTTCACTCCTTTGAGAAGTATGGAACTGAATGTAAATTAGTCATTATAATATAGTTACTACTAAGGTAAATTCTATTTCTTACAGTCTTCAATATTATTTTTGTGGAGACATAATCTGAAAATCAGATCCACTTGCCACACCCACCTGTCACATCCTCTCTTTCACAGTAGTTCTCACTGATTTCTTATATCATATTATGATGTTTTCTGTATAGCGTATTATCTATTTCACTTCCAGTTTGAAAATTTTTCAATCTTCACCTTTCTGTGTCATGTGATACCTCACTTTGGAATTCTCATTTTTACATTTCCCCTCTCCCCTTGTATGGGTTTCAGTGTGTCAAATCAATTACAAACATGAACTATAGATCTGGATATGGATCTGGTGAGATATAAATTAATTTATTCAACCTACAAGTGAAATGCCTCCCATTTATCTTAGCTTTGAAGAAATATATCAAAACTGCATGTCCTTATTTGATAAGATATGATTATAACCAATAAAACAAAAAAAGAGAGCTTATTTGCTTTTACAGAAATCTTATTACAATTACTTCTTTCTGGTGAACAGAGGTAGTCAATTTCCACAGATTGTTTAATTTTTATGGCTGGTCTTGAGCTCCAAGTAGCTAATGAAATATTTTGAACCTATTTATAGTTTTGTTGGAAAGCTAGTTAAATTATATTAGTTTTGGGACATTCTATTGTAGTGCATGGTATAATCTTGAGTTCTAAAATGCATGTTTGAAAACTATGCGAATTTTTATTTGAAGAACTAACTTAGTGAAAAAAAGTTAGGCCTATCACAGTTGCAGCTTGTACTCACAGAGATCACACTCTTCATTAATAGTGTTTACTATATGTAACTAATAAACTATCCAAGGCTGCATTTGCTCCCAGACCCCAAATGGTGATGGGTCCCTGCTGATGATCTGGACCGTTTGTTTAACTCTCTCTTTTTTCGATAAATCTGTTATTTGTTCTATTCCTACTCAATACAGACTAGATCAATTTGACCAACCTTGTAACCACCATAAAATAATATAAAATATATTAAAATTACCATTTTTTCTTTCTAGAATTACTTCATATTGTAGCAGTAAACAATATTTCTTTACATTAAATAGTTTAAAACTTTTTAACCTTATACAACTGTTTAGAATTAATTTTTATTGTTTTACTGCCTTTTGGACCATAATTTTTAAAATTCCCACCATAAGAAGTGTCAAAATATGTGGTAACATGAAGCAAATGTTACACTAACCAAATTACATAAAGCTCGTGCTACTTGTGAGCTGTTAGTCTTAGCAAATGTATCTTGTAGAAACATTTTATTCTTATTATCATTATATTTATTTATATTACCTAATTTAACTTTATCTAGCCTAAAAGTTTCTAAGTTTTACATTTACTGTTACTTTTATAATAATAAATAAAAAATAGATAAGAAAAACAAGTATATCACTCACCCATGTAGTCATTTTTTTTTGCCATTGACTGTCCTTTTATGTTGGCCCTACTACTTTACATCAATGCTACTAGTCCACAAAATAATTTTTTTAAAGTAAATAATGCAAGATGATAAAGAATACTTTTGATTTGATGTTAAACTGAAATATTCTTAAGCATGTAATTTTACAATGAGAGAGAGAGAGAGAAACAAACATGCAAATAGAACACAGTGGGTTCACTATTTTCAGTGGAATTGGTGAAAAAATATTTCGCAACTGAGACAATTGGAACATTCATTACTTTGTGGCTCAGTCTTTGTAGAGTCAAATCATTGATTAAATGTTCATTCAAAAGGAAAGATAAGATAGAATAGCAGTTGTTTTCCAGTAGTTCTGCTTTAGGAATGTATTTCTTTACATTGCATGATCATGCTATTTCTAAAATTTGCATATATTTCTGAATGTTTTATCTCAATATTATTACCAAACAAGGCAGTTATTATAAATGGATTTTATGTTGCCTACATTTACTTGTAGTCTTATAATTTTTATATTAGCTATATCAATGTAATCCGGAATTATTTGTGAAGCCAGGCATGACTACTTATTTATTCATATCATATCTAACTTGTTTCAGAAGGTAACTTGTTGTTGAAGAGGCAAAACTAACAGGATTAGAAGCACTGGTCACTGCTCGTAAAACAGTTGACATTTCATTTTTCAAGAAAAACTAAGAAGCTCAATGGTAGGAACAAAATGTGATCTATCTGCCAGAACCACAGCAGTGCTGGTTCTCTGTCTGTTCCCTAATGGGACAATGATGAGTCTGTGAACTTACTATATCTAAATCAGAAGTTTGATTTCTTTCAGTGAACATAGCAGATAGTCCAGTCTAATGAAACTTTGCTCTAAAATAAAAAAATGGTTCAATTCCACCACTTAATGATGCATTTTCTTAGTACTGCAGTAAATATCACTCAGACTGGGATAAATGAATCTGCTGTAAAAAAAAAAAAAGATTATTCTTTAGCCTATCCAAGACATATCAGTTTATAAATTTATCTACATGTCTTCTGTTTAATCCTGTTTTTTTAGCTTTCCTTTATAATTCTTTTGCATGTTGTTTCAGACTAAGCTGTGCTAAATTTTCAGTTGTTTACTATATTTGTATTTCACTCACACTTTTCTGCTTCAACAGACAGTCATAACAATGAACCTCAAATATGGCTAATCAAATGTCTTCAAAGAAACACATTACTGTGAATAAAGATTTTATCTAGTTACTTTGAATTTGCTTCTACTCTTTTGCTGTAAGTGTTTGATTTATTCTCTACTTAACAACTCTGGAAACTCATACTTATTGCAAATTGCTTCCAACTCACCTGTTAGAAAGCAATGAACCTGAAACCAAGTTATACTACCACTCACTCTACTCTAAATACTATTTTACAGAATAGAATTGAGGTACTGGAATAACCCTTTGGTGCCTGGCACCATTTTTAAATTCCTTTCTGCACATGTACTGCATTACATTTAAAAATTAATTAAACTACTTTACTATCAACATATGTCAAGGAAATTAATGTTGTAATGTAATTTGAATTTTTATGTTATCTAAGTTTTAATTACTTTATTTCAAAGGAAACCGTTCAAAAAATACTTAAACTGCAGTTTTTGTGTCACATGATTCTTGCACTATGATAAATCTTGACTTTAGCAGCAGTTCACTCTTGGCCACATAAACTGACAATGTACATGAGTATGTAGACACTAAATATGTGTGTTTGACCTATTTGACTGGTGAGATTCAAAGTCTGTACCTGCTTTGTCTGGGAAACAGACATAAATTTTCCAACCCTTGATGGGTGCCATGCCCACCTTCTATACTTTGCTTTGAGAATAAAATGTACATGTAGTTAGTTGACACAAGTGTATATATTTGTTATAAAGATCTCAGTTTACACTGTACTCCACCAACAGTTAATTTGAAATTGGCATGCAGTTTTTGTATTGAAGTAGATGTAACTACAGGTAGTATTGTTTTGTTTGTTTGTTTGGAATTAAGCACAAAGCTACACAATAGGCTATCTGTGCTCTGCCCACCACAGGTACTGAAACCCAGTTTTTAGCATTGTAAGTCTGCAGACATACCACTGTGCCACTGGGGAATGGTAGTATTGTTGTATACTTGATTGACTATAGCATTTATGGTGGTTTCTTACCTAAATATGCTATAGTTAGATATACAATTAAATTGTATTTAGGTCTTACTTTTATATTTTAGTTAATTATTATTGTATGAGATTTAAAAATCTTATTTGAATGGTTTAATGATTTTTATAAGTTTAACTTGTTGCTTGGATTGTGAAAGGTTATAAAGAAGATGGCATGTATAAGCGGCATCTTGTTACGGCAACATGTCTCTGTGTGGAGTCTGCCGAAATAACTTCATAAAGCCCCATGGGCATCAGTTGATGTATCTGCATAAATGATAATAGACGAAGAACTTGGAAGGAAAATATAAAGACGTGAACATATAACATATAAGCAAAATACAACTATTCTAGTGGATTTCTACAGAGAGTTAAAAGGTATGTTTGTGTATTTCCATTTGTTAATATTAAACATTTCATTTCACCATACATTGACAATAATAAATAGTTAGTGATATAGTAGAGAAAATGGAAAATAAAATATAAACTTTTGATATTCATTTATAAAGTTCTAGAGATGATACAAAGAAAATGTGAAACTGTAAGATTAAAAATAGCATTTTTATACTTTATATAAAAATCACCTTGCTGGTGAACTATTCAGAGTCTAAGTGCAAATAACTAAATGAAATGATGAACTTTTATTAGAAATAGTAAGAAATTTACGAAATTAAACATTTTATTTTTAGGAATGTTTTTGTCAAATTTCAGACAATTTCACCCACTACTTTTATTTTTGTAACAAAATGTTATGAGATTGGCATTACCATCTCTTTGATCGAGAATTTGGACACCATAGAGTTAATCTGCTGTATTTCTATTACTATTAAGGTTCAACTGCAAGCACCAAATATTTATACCCTTACCTGTTCAACTTAACCTAGTCTAATCAACTCCAGCTGGCTGCAGTACTGCTGTACATAACATTAGGCTTAAATTGCAAAAGAAACATTACATACTAGCAATAGCATAAAAACAAGTATTAACCTATAATGCAGTATCATGAAGTAGTAAAATTAACCAAGTATCTATCACTTGCAATAATCATCAGACCAATAACCATTTTAAAACAACTTTGGCCATGACAAATGTCTAAAAATTTACAATAGATTGTGTAAAGTCTCCACTGATATATAAAAAGCCAACAATTTACTGAATCAGAATAATTATATGATTTATCATTTAACCATTCACTGTGTAGAGCAAGTTATTTACACATTATATTATTTCCAGTTTTATCTCATGGTGTGTAGGTCTAAGTGTGTGTAGCTTTAAATTCTATATTCTTGCTTATAATTATGCACAGCTTGTTTTTCTGATTGGTTAGAAACTGTATATTGAAGTTATAAAATTCTATAACAGAGAATTCAAATCACAGACATGTCATGTGACACAGGAAACTGAAGATTGAGAATGTGTCTGATATTTCGTTTGAAATTGAGAAATTAAAATAAAGAAAATCAGAGGAATCACTAGGTACTGGCACATGAGGCCCATGCCCCAAATCACCAGTTGGTGTCCTGAAAAATCAGAATAGAAAACCATGATCGATATCCTACCGAAATGCCAAAAATTCCCAAGCCCCGAATCTTTTATGTACTTAGCAATGCCTCTGGAGAAAATATAAATTTTGAACCATGAACTATGTTTTAACGTCAAATTTAGTAACATACACTGACATTAAAGTTTTAATCTAATACTGTAACATTTGTGATGTACGAAAGTTCCATTTCCATATACAGGTTTTAGGATATTAATGGTTTGATTAACTCTTTCAGCACAGGCTCAGTCCCTGGGACTGACCTCGTAACCATTTTGTGATTGTTCTAGTTATCATGCTATAAGTTTTAAATTAGTAAGCGTATGTTCACGAAATTTGGCAAATTATCAGTAAACATTACAATGCATTCATACACAAAATATCAAGTTTTTTTATTTAGTCTTAAGGTTTGAAAAGCAATGTTTTTCTCATGCCTTTTTTTCTACTTTTCACATGTTGCCTATCCAATATGCAAAGTAATTTTCACTTTAAGATTAAAAATATTTTTGTGCATCAGAAAATTTTCAAATTTCAAATGCAAAATTTTTATAATGTCCAGATAGTTGTCAAACGTTTCTTAAGAAAAATACTGTATATTTTATCAGTTATTTTCAGTAATGAATCTCTGTACAGGTTTGGTCTATTTGACAGATCTCATAACCATGTTAAAAAAATTAGGAAATAAATATAAATTATGCCTTTTTCATTCTAAAATGACTACAACTTATAACACGAAAACATAAATGTTTAAACTAAATAGCGTAAATCTCATAACATTATACATTTATATATATTAATTATTTTTATTATATTGACCGTTCAGCCATGCCTGGCTAACAATACAGAAGTTACAGTAATGCAGCACACATGCACTCATGTTACCATATCCAATAATATAAAACTGACCTTTAGTCTTTATAATATAATCTATGAAGCTTAGTAAATAAGCTGTATTTCAGTGTAAAAAAATATGAAATTTCGAGCAAACTAAAGACATAACCTACCTTCTTGAAATCTTATTCGAAAGAAAGAGACAGCATCCTCGAAATTTAAAATGGCTAAGAAAGCCACTAGGGGGACATTCTGTGCTTTCAACTGATTATTCATGTCATGTATAGAAGTAAGTGTATTTAAGG